CCCCACGGCGCACAGCAGGGGAAGTCGAGGGGAGGCAGACTGAGAATGCCCCTCACAGTACAAGGCCAAAGCGGCTGGAGGGACAGGGTGCAGGAGTGCGTGTGTGTATAGTGGGGAGGCAGCAGACGCCTCCCCTCTGCCCCTTCTTTGGGGAAAGACCCAAAAACACCTGCCTTGGCCAGGGTGGGCAGGGTGCAGCTGAGGTGGGGCAGGCTCCGCCAGCCCTACAAGACACCCCTGTAACCCAACGGAGGGTGGCACGCAGTGTCCATCCCACATCAAGCCACCCTGAAGATGCTCCCTCCTGCTCAGATGGTTGGACAGCATCAGGCTGGCTCCAGCAAGAGGACACAGCTCCATGAGACTTTTCTTGCATGCAGCTTGTGCTGAAGGAGGCGGTGACGGTGGAGGGACATTCTGCAGGTTCCCAGAGGCTGTGTGTCCTTCCAGATGCAGCTGCACTTTCCGGTCAGCAGCAAGCATGGCAAATGTGCTTTCGGGGCCCTGGATCCAGCTCCTGCCCGTGTGGCAGCTGCCCGCCCTGTAGCGCTGAGCTCTGCCCTACAGAGAGGGGCCACAGCTCGTCATGAAGTCTGCCCAGCTTTTTTCTTCAGGCATTGCTGATTTACTCCCCACCTCCTCTCAGAAAGCCTCCTCCCTTAACTCAACCCTTTCTCTCGCTGGTCCCTTTCTCCTTTTACCATCTCATTCTTTCCAGTGAGGCCATCCCTTCCCCTGGCCTTTCTAGCCTGTCCCTCATCTCCACCCTCTCCATCTCCCTCTACCTGTCCCCGTCCTTGCCTTCCCATTCTCCCACCACTGTCTTCCTCACCCCTTCTGTGTCTGCCCCTCCTCTCTCTTTCCCCAGCTCCTTTTCCCCTTCCCTCCTGCATCTCCCCCTCCTTCCCACAAGCCTGCCTGGCAAAGCCTCCTCCAGGAAGGCAAGCTGATTAGCATTGCAAACACACAGAGGCCTCCTCAGCCCGACATAAATCTTCATTTGTCAGTCATGAATATTTCACACCTGCCTCGGGAGGGATTTATTCAGCATGGAAGAGTGAGGAGGGGGAGAGGGAAACGTGGCACCACAGCATAAGCTGGGGCAGCACCAGCTGGGATGGGGAAGAGCTCTGCCCCATGGGAATAGCACACCTAGGGTCTCACCTTCACTCTTCCGTGTGCAGGAACCCAGCCCAGGCTGCCTCATGAGCCTGTTCCTGGGGGAAGAGCGCAGGTCAGCACCTAACCTCATTCCTCACCCTCCACACTTTCCAGTGACGTGAACTAAACTTTTTTCCCTGCCAGGAGTCACCAGCCCAGAAATAGTGTGAAAGGGGCTGGTCCTGGTTCTGCGCCATGGATCCACTTTGCCCTGGGAGAAGGCAGGGGTGAGGGACTCTTACCAGAGCCAAGCCACAGATGCCTTAGAAACTTCAGGCAGTCTCTCCATGCTTTTTCCCACCACAGAGGCCTTCAAGGTTTCATCACATCATGCCCTGCCCTCTGCTAGGACCACCCATGGGAGAGGAGGGGTAGGACAGCCCTAATCCAGAGCTCTCTGCAATCAATGAAAGGAAGGTGGTGGGAGGTCTTCTAAGTGATTGCCACCAGCTCCACATCAGAGGTTTCCCTGCAGCTGAAGCACTCCTTATTCCCCCAAGAATAGCTTTGCTCATAGATTTGGGGAAAGAGCAACCAGGGCATAGGGATGGTAGTGACCATCTTATGAGATCTATCTTGATGGGCCTCACTTCTGTTCCTAAATAATTAGAAGAAATTATGACCGCTAGAAAGAGCAGGCCTTTGGTATATAACACATCCCCCTTCACGCACACGACCCTGAAAAGCATCTGAGAGACCACATTTGGGGCAAGGTGAAGAGAACACTAGAAAGAAGAAGGAATGTTTTTTATGGGGCTGATGGGGTTGGGATCTCTTTGGGGTGTGTTCCCTCCCAAACTGGTAGGAGTCTCTCATAAAATCACATCAGGGATGAATGAAAGGAGCAGGGAAAACAGGGACAAGGACAGGAGAGACTTTGTGGGAGGAGGTTAAATTCCAACAAACTGGCACATACACAACAGGTGTTTGCTCAGAAAAATACAGTAAAATCGTCATGCAAATAGAACGTTAAATCTGCTTTCCTCCGACAGGGCTGGCATCGCTTTGCGAGCCCTCATCCCTGGGGAGGCAGCAAGACAAGGAAGAAGAGAGGAGGAAGGAAGGTGATACACTTTGTTCCCCTTCCTTGCCCTCTTCTTCCCGCAGAACAGTCCATCTTGTGCAAACTTCACCCACTGGTTTGGAGTGGGGGGCTACAGTTGGGAGAAAAATGGCTTGTGCCTCCTACCCAGCCTTACCCCCACCACAGGCAAAAGAAGGGCCTGATGATAGCTGTATCCCTGACCTTTCTTTTCTGCCTCGTTGGGGTGATGGGGGGAGTGAGCAGAAACCATTACAGGTTAATGTTCTCCCCAAAAGTATAGACTGAGCAGTACTGATTACAAAACCATACAGCAGAGAAGCACAGGGAGGGAAGAGGTGGGGAGAGGAACAGGACTCCATCCCCCCATGCCTGTCATCCCCCTTTTCCTGTCCAGTTCTGTGCCTCAGACATTAGTCTTTCCTGCTTGGATGGTTGCCACACTGGAAGACTGCTGGGCCTGCTCCATGTGGTAGCTGGAGAGCTATCTGCTTTGCCTAAGTATCTCTCACAGCGTTACCTTACTTGATTTGCTGCGTTGTCCCAACATGGAAGGATGCCTGGCAGCAGTGATGTGACTTCCCTTCACCCTCCTGGATACACTCACACATATATAGGTGTGCACACACCCCGCTTCCTCTGGGTTGGACTGGCTCTAACAGGGTGGAGTCAGTCACGTGAATACCTCTGGACTCAAGGCAAAACAATGCTTTGACTGCGGGGAAGCAAGCTGACAGTGAAGGAGGCTGAGGCAATGGGATCAGGACCTAGCTTATGATTGTTACCATCAGCATCCCTATTTTTAGATCTTCACAGGTTTAGACCTTGGGGATCCCGCCCCTGGTTTTTGCACACCAGCCTCTGCCTACTGCTGCTCCTCACAGAAGATGAAGTCATGTCACCTGTGGCATAGAAACCAGCTCTCACAGCTGGCAGTGCTAGTACCTGACAGATAATAGGCAGGTTCTCTGCAGGCAGCATGTAAGTCCCTTACAGACAAGCTCCTACACCCTCATCCTTCTCTCAGGGCCCCAAAACCACTGGGGTTTCTGAGGAGCACCCCAAAAAGAAAATAGCCACTTAAGAAAGGCCAACACAACACAGGCCCTCACCCTCATCCTGATAGAGGTGAACGATTGTCAAGAATTATGGGGTGTAGCTCATGAAGAGGAGGCCTGCTGAGCTGCATAAAGATGCATTCAGCAGGCAGCACCCCTACCTGACAAGAAAACTTTTGGGACGATGGTGCCAAGACTATGCTTTGTTGGGCTGCTCAGAAATGGGACAAAGTGGTGAGGTAAGTAGGCTCATTCCCAGCTCTGTGGGAGATCTTCTACCCAAGGGAGAGAGGCTGGGACCTAGCAAGTGAAACCAGGTTTTTGCCAAGACATTAGAGGATCCGTAAGAAAAGTTTGTCACAGCTAACTGTGAGGAGGTGGAAGATTTAGGAGGTTGCTCAGACTCTCATGAGAGCCTCTAAGTATTCAAAGGAACACTGCCGTCCAGAAGCTGGTATCCTCTTCTACCCCAGCACACACAGTGTGGCTGCACGCACAAAGGGAGCTTCTTTGGAGCCATCCCTTTTGGGCTACTCCCACGCCCCATTCTCACAACCCTTTTGTGCCCTTGTCTTCACTCTAGGCTGTTTCCTATCCATGCCAAAATGTCCATGGCCTATTCAAGTGGAAGCCACTTTGTGGCTTTTCTGTCAACCTGGTGAGGTGAGCAACTGAAATCCTTCACATCCGCTTCCAAGTGAGGAAGTTGGATGATGCTCTTCTCATGCACACCCACCCACCCCACACCCCATGGTGCGAGTCAGTTGGGAAGAGCTGCAGAAGCTTCATGTCAAACTTGCTGAGATCCTCTCCAGGTCCTTTCCTCATAGTAAGGGAAACGTGAACAGATAGTATCAAACCTACTGGACAAGGGAAGGCTGAGCATAGGTGTATATGGTGGTGAGGACCTCTGACCTTTGACACTCATGGAGAGATGGGAACCCTTCACACCTCTGAGAGACCAGACCTTCCTGCCTTTTCCTCCATCACTTTGTGAGGATCTGGCTTGACATGCCAAAGAGCACATTCATACCCCCCCCCCCCACCAACTGGCAGAAAACTGGCTCTGAGCAGAACTGAAGAATGCCCATCACTCCAGAACTGCTGGTGTTCATCAGCAACAGTATGGTGGGAGAAGGGAAGAAGGAAGAGCAGCAAGGGCACAGAGCCTGTTGTACAGTAGGTCCTACCTCCCTTGGTCCTTCACACCTCCTCTCCTTCCTCTGAGGAGGATTGAGGTTCGTGAAATATCTAGACCGACAGTGCAAGCCTAGGGAGTGTTAACAGGGAAGGGTAGGGAAGGGCAAAGGAAAAGAAGCAAGACAACTTCTTCAAACAAATCCCACCTATCTTGGAAGGGGACAGGAGAGAGAGAAAAGCCTCCACTGCCAAAAGAAATGAGGGGAAAATTAGTGATGGAAGATTTGGAAAGGTGAGCAGAGAAGCTTTCTAAACCGAAGTCCTACCCTCCCATCTAAAAGAAAAATCAGTCCTCAACAGGAACAGAAAGAGCAATAGTTCACAGCTGAGTTTCATGCCCAGTAAGTGTCCATCCCTGCCCTTCCCCTGCCACTGCTCTCATCCCCTCCCAGGGTATTCCCACCCACCCGCACTCCAGTGTTGTTACCACAGTGTCAGAGCAGGATGCTCCTCCCAAACCATTTGCAGGCAGAACAATGGTCCCCGTAACACAGTAGAGACAATTCGGCATGTGTGTGTGTCTATGTGTGTCTGTGTGTGTGAGAGTTTTCTGCTGTTGTTGTAAACTTTAAGAAACGATTTTGTCAGTTTTGTATTTGTCAGGAGTATTTTGTTGTTGGTTTATTTATCACAGTCAAGTGGCATTTGTTTTTTCTGGTTGTTGGGGGAGGTGGTCTTGTTTTGTATTGTTTCCTTGGAAAGAGCAAAGGAGAGTCACAGCTTCTGCTGAGCAGAGACGCCTTTCCAGTAATCCAGGATGTCATGCAGATCCTCGTCCTTGGCAAACTGAACTTTCTTCCGCAGGGCATGCCCAGCCGCCATGTAAACCTCCTCCCTGTGGTGCTTCTTGTAAGGCCGGAATCGCTCCCAGATCTTGTGGGTGCTCTCTGATGAGTACTCAGGGCTGGAGGAATAGCCTGAGAAGTAGTGTCTGGGGGAGAGCTGGGAGTACGTGGAGTCTCGCTTGGACCGGGAGAGTGGCTTGAGGAATGACACCCGCTGGCTCAGGGTGTCAGCACTTTCCTCATAGTACAGGGCTGGGAAGGAGTGACGGTGCTCACTGCAATGATAAGAAGGCTTGACCTCCAAGTGGTGGATGGCGCCCGGAGACACCAAGGGAAGACGATCCAAAGGGCTGTTGAGTGGGCTGCCCTTCTCAATGTATTTGGAGTCAGACTTGCTGAGTGGTGGGTGGTCAGGCACATCCAAGCTGAAGACCTTGGCGCTCTTGATGGAGCCACTAGAGGATACACTGCAGGTCTTTCTGGCCACAGCAGCATCAGCACTGAGCTGGCGCTGCAAAGGGTGGTGGGAGCTTTCCTTGTAGGGTGGGGAAAGAAAGCTGGGCCGCTCTAGCCCACCCGAGGAACTGGCTGGGATGGACTGGCACTCAAAGGCCATGTCTGAGTCAACACCAGTCCCACCACCCAGGAAGGAGGCTGTGTCCAGCTTGAGAGCATCAATGCAGTTGTTGATGATCTGGTTGACCTTGTCTACCTCCTTGGCTATAGTAGAGATCTCAGCAGCTGAGCCTTGCCCATTGTCAAGCTCCCTCAGGTCCTCATCCCGTTGAGTTCGCTCCAGCCCATCCCCACCACCAGTCCGCACCTCAATGTAGTTACCTTTAGTGGTGACTTTAGGAGTCTCCATCCCAGCCTCCATTGACTTTGATGGGGGCAACTTCTCCCCAATCATGGAAGGGATGGAGGACATCCGTGAGACAGGGATGACTGGAGGCTCACCCAGCTTCTGGGAAGGATGGACCATGGTACTGGTATCAATATCTGATCCATAACGCATTTCCAGAATGGTCTTTTTGACATTGAGGGACTTCTGTTTCTCCTCCTGCATCCTCCGCTTCCGCAGGCAGTAGTACACCACCCCCAGGACAATGACCATCCCAAAGAGGCAACCCAGGGTGGTCATGATATAGTGCGTGGTGGTGGAAGTACTGGAAATAGGGTCCTCCCTGCCTTTGCTCCGGGTTGCAAAGGTCAGGCAAGTGTGGTTGTAGCGCCTGTTGTTGCGGATGGAGGCCACACAGAACGTATAGTCGGTGTGGGCCTTCAACTTGTTGACAGTGACATATTCCTTCTTGCTCTTCAGTGTTGCTATGTCAGAAACGTAGCTGTTGTTGTATTGGACCAGCACATACATCTTACTGTAGGGCATGGGGATGGTTACCATCAGGATGGCTGAGGTGATGGTGACATCATGGAGCTTGATGCTGGGACTGAAGGAGGAGTCAGTGGTGGAGGAGGCTGGAGGCTTGACTGAGAGGAAGTCCCCAGGGCTGATGGCTGAGCCTTCATCCAGGTCTCGCTGGGAGTCAGGGGTATAAGGGGTGGGGTTGACCCTGGAAAGCGAGGGGATGGTGCCACCTCTGCACATGGACTGGAAGATGGTGATGGCATTGCGGTTGTGGTGAGGCCGAGGTACAAGGAGTGGGTACCCAGCAAACTCCCGTGGAGTCTCACACTGGAGCCGGTCATAGTTCTTGGTGACATTGTTGAAAAGCGCCAGCCAGTTAAGAAAGCTGTAGAGGCTACAGTCACAGTTGAAGGGGTTGCCAGCCAGCTCGCACACCATCAAATTGCTCAAGCTGGTGAAAGTGTTCCCCTCCAGGCGGCTGAGTCGGTTAGATGACAGGTCAATGCTAATCAAGCTGGGGCACTCAGAGAAGGCAGTAGGGGTGACCAGCTCAATTAGGTTATGCTGCACAAAGAGGAACTGGAGACGGGCCATGCCACGCAACATGCCCTCTGTCAGGTTGGTGAGTTTGTTGTAGCCCAGCTGTAAGACCTGGAGGTTTGACTGGCCCATGAAAGCCCCATCCTCAATATAGGAGATCTCATTCTTGGTCAGGTTCAAATCAGTCAGGTTGCCGAAGCGGTTGAGGGAGGAGTACAGCACCACTTTGAGCTTATTCTCATTCAGACGCAAGTCATGCACAGTGCTGTTGATATGCTGGGGGATGGTCTCATACGGGGGCTGGTTCTGGCTGCAGATGGCCAGCCACACATAGCCTTTGTCCCCCTCAATTAGCCAGCAGTCACCTCGCACAGTGCCAGGGGAAAACAAGCAGAGCAGGGCAGCTGTCCACAACCCCAGGCACATCATGGCCTGCAGTGGTGCCCTCATCAGGATGGAAAAAAAAAAAAAAAAAACAAACCAACAAAAAACCACCCCAAACCTCAGGGCCACAGCAGAAGCAAACTAAGGGGCAGAGGGAAGAGAAAGGGGCTGTAGCTGGGGTTTAGCAATGGAAGGGCATGAGCACCCCAGTCCTATTGGGTGTCATCACCATTATTTCTTCTTGCCCTCTGGGTCAAGCCAGGAGCATAGAGCAGGTGGAACACGTGCAATTTGCTTCCAGCACACCCAAAAGCTGTGACCATGGATAATTGGTCTGGAAGGGAACTACCTTGTGCTTCTTTTCTAAACAAAAATTCAAACCGAAGATAACGAATCTTCTTTGATGTTCATGAGCAACTCGTCCACCCTTTCCACTTCTCTCCC